GTAGCCAGGTAACAACTAACTCACGACTTAGCTGACAGAACCTCGAGAGTATCCTCCAACACGTCCTCACGCTACGAACGCTCGACCAAGACTGAGCATGTGCAGTAAAAGCATGCGAAGTTTCAAAGTCGTGGGATGAAGCAATGCAGAGAAATCTTGTCAAATGCACAAGGAATTGAGGAAGAGGGCATTGCTATTGAAGGGGCCAGCTTCGTTTTCTCTTTCCTTCAAGACAATTCACTATAGGGCTCTTGAGAGTTTCACTGCAAGAGTGCCAAGATGTGATCTCTGGAGGCAATATTTAACCCTTTCACTGTTCTGCAAGAAAATGCCCTCCACCTTGTGCAGTAGTAGACCTCCACTTCGGCTACCATTACACAAGCAGTGCGTGCAACCCAAGTTTGTACTCGGGCTAACAACGAAAGGGTTAAAAAATAAAGTTGTTCAATCCATGGAGGGTAACAGGTATAAATGTATAGTAATCCCTCATCAACCGCGGTTTTGCCAATCATGGTTTCAAGTATCTGAAATGTATATCATTTTACCAATCACGGTATGAGGTTTTGAGTATCCATGGTTACAGATGCATACTCATTATTTTTTGCTGCAATGGTTTTTCTTAAATTTGAATAACCTTGATGTATTTTAACAGAAGAATATCTATACTTACTACTTATGAAATATGCTACCAAAGGGTTTGCTGAAGGGGTATTAAAATTGAGACGAATGCAGTGAGGAATTTTTAGAGGGTCATTAGGACTCCAACCTCTCAGTCTCTGAAAGATCTGCTGTTAGGTTGGCTCCTTAGAAGTTAGGAAAATCCCTCACAGCATTTGTCTCAACTTTAAGGCAGCAATACCCCATTTAAAAAAATGTTTTCGAGAAAAAAAAATCATTTTCACAAAAATTGCCTTAAATTACACTTCAGACACTGAAGATTGCTTTCCCGTTGGGAAAAATAATTAAACTTAATTAATTATGTGCAATTTAAACTAATTAATATAGTATTGTCTTTGGACATCTCCTTAGTACCAACTTTGACCCTTGGATAACATATGTAAGAAAAGACAAAAAACTAACATTTCAACGCCTTAACTTTTGTTGAAGTCTATAGTTCATTTTGAATTCCACCACTAGGTGCCTCATTCTGCGGAGTCGGTAGGTTCCGTAGTTTTTGATGACCTTTGCGGATGGCTCACAGGGCACAGATTCACTTCTCTGAATGATTTCCCGAAAACCCATTTTCACCATAAGTACAGGTCTCTTGAGCACAATATCTCAGGACCTAGTAGAGATATCCATATGATTCTTTTCACTAAATTTCCTTGCATTGGTGGTTGTGGAATGACAAGAGCATTTCCCGATATTGTGGATGCGATTTGAATAATTAGCATATTAATACATAAGAAGCAGGTCGAAATGGAGGAAAATTTTCCAATTGGTCGAATATTTTTATTCTGAAGGAATTTCAAAAACTGCTTGTCATTCCAAGCTTTATTATGTCTTTTATTATGTGTGTGAACTTCATCCATTTATATTTAAGGATTTTTAATATATCATGTTTGAAATGTCACTACTTTTTTTCACTCACAGTGGCCATATTGACACCTAATTAGCATAATTTATGCAAGTTATGCTTTAAATCGAAATAGGTTTTTGAGGCCTCCAACCTGACCTACAGAGTTGATTTACATCACTTGAACTTGCCATATTGGTTTTAAAGGGGTATTGCTACCTTAATACCCCTTCAACAAACCCTTTGGTAGCACAATGAAAAAAATTCATAGAAGCTATCCTTAATGGACAAATAAGATGAAATTTCACCAGTCAACATCAAAGACATCAGTCTTCCCATGATAAGAGTCAGAATGGTGTATTGCAACTGGAAGTGCCGTGGTCTCAGAACTTTTTCACCACCCCTTGTATGTTCCTGAGCATGCCACAATGTGCTAAAAAGGCTTCAAATTAGTATTGACCAAGACTGTAGACATATTGAGCACCTGAAGTGAAGTTTTCTACTGTATTTTTTTTCTTGTTAACATACCTCGAAAAATAAAAATAGTTCCTAGATGCATTGAACTGTTTTGTTTCTATTTGAATTTAAACATGTTCCATTAGTATTCAGTATTCAGTCAGAATTCAGTAGTGTCCACTCCGTATTCCTGAAAGTAGGGTTCCCCTAACTCCATATTTCCCACAAGCCATGGGTTTTACCAACCGCAGTTTTGCCAACTGCGGTGTTTTTCAGGTACATTACTCCTGCGATTGGCAAGGGATTACTGTAACAGCTTCATGGATCAGGCTTGAATGATACAGTAATCCCTCGCCAACTGCGGTTTTTAGTTAGCAAAATGTACACTGCTTTACAGTCTGTAGTATGAGGTTTTGAGTATCTGCAGTTTCAGGTGCATACTCATTATCTTTTGGCTCACCCTTGCAGCAATCCAACCCTATGTTTCCATTGAATATTTCTCAATATTTTCATGCTACATTCTAAAATCTAATTTTCAAACACCTAGAGAAAATGGTTAGAATAATAATTCCTAAAAATTACTCTTTCCTTGAATTTTCAAAAACTTCAAGATTTCATCTCTTTGATCTCTAGATGCTTGCAGATATACAACTAACACATTGTAAATAAGTCATCAGATAGATTGTAGTACTGTGGTAAAGCTGATACCAATTATTTGAAAAAATTGTTATGGGTGAGGTGAAAAAGTTATTACCAACCACCAAGAGGTGGTACCAAATGGTACCAGTTAGTATGACAGAGTTAATCTTATACAAAATGCAATTTTGTCACTTGAAATAAATAAGAAACATGGCTCTCAGAAGCTGTACAGATTGCCTGAAAATGAACAGAGTGAGCTATCCTAGACCTGGTTATAAGAATAGTTTCTGCATCTCCAGCAAGAGGAATACCACTGCCATTGCATGATGCATTAATCTCAGTGTCTACCTGGTACTCATCAAATTAGCCATTTTATCTGAAGATATAAAAAAAATTGTATTGAAATAAGCTTCACTTTTGTCGATAGCAAGACACTTAGCAGTTTAACTCTTACTATTTTTAGCAAAGATTATCATCTCCTTCCAGCACCCAGTGAACCTCTTTAAAAATGTCATTTTCTAGTGTGTGTTTCATCTGGGCAACAATAATATTGGGATATCATTGAAGTCAAGAGAGTTCTGGGTCTAACCCTGCACCTGGCCCAGGTTGAAACCCAGAACTCCATTTACATGCCCTGTGCCAGTCTAAACAAGATAAGTTTTAGCACTGCATAAACAGCATCATGGTGGCTCAGTTTCATAATCATAGTTTCATCAGCTATAGAGAGGCATTGAAGCATTAGACTGAATGGAACTTAAATATACTGGTAGTGCTAACACCATCTTCACACAGGAGGAGGGAGGAGGGGGAAATGTGACTTTTCCAATGTCTCCCTCTCATTTGAATCTATCATTGGTCTAGGATGACTTATGATTTTGATGCTAAAAAAAGTCAATACTGAATTTTGCAAATAAATCAACACATCCAGATTTGTACAATTTGAATTAACTTAGGTTGATAATAACACAACTGAGCTTTAAAACAATCAGATATTTTGTGTTAGACCAGGTAGGACAATGCATTTAATTTGATGCAGCAAAAGTTAACTTAAGAAAAGATATACCATTATTAACTATTACCTATTCAAAGTTGCTCAATCCAACAGGGAAATCTACCAACATCACTGAGTGTTTCACCTTTTCCTCTCTTCATGATAGTATTTGTAACACCTGTGCTCAAATGAAACATACCTTCTCCATGTTTGTGATGGATTTCAATCTGTACTTGAACAACATGATGATTTGTAGGAAGATCTTGATCTCTGATCAATGCCCTCCTCCCAGGCCGTTTCTCTCTAGCCTCTCTTCGACTGGATGTGTCACTCAGGCTGTCATCATCGAGTGTACTCCTTCCTACATATAATTAAGGTAAGGCATGATCTGACATTGAATCACAGCCAAATTAGTGGGTGTCATGGTTCTTCAGAGACTTACCTTGGATAAAGCATGGAAGAGGCAAGAGAGGGGAGACTGACAGTCGTGCTATATTCTCAGACAAGCATATTTCCTGTTCTCCCTCAGATAATTCTACCCCATCTAACAACACCTGGTTGAACAGGAAAACAACTGTAATTCATGCTGATCACTGACTGTAATTCATGCTGATCACTGATCATTCTTAAACAAATACAGACATTGAATTCAATATTCTATTAGATTCTTACCCAAGGAGAGAGATACAAATTATTCTTCCTTTTTCCATGCGCATCTACATTAAAGGGCTTGTAGACCTTATCCTTAATTACCAGCCTGTCCCTGAGAAAATGGGGCAAATTCAGGAAAAAGTCATTGGTGAGTTACTCAGATTTTCCTTAAATTCAGCATATTTGTTCCATTCAAAGAGCAGGGTTCACGTTAACTCGCTATAGCGAGTCCCTGACTCATATTTTCTTGGAGGAACTCATATTTGCAAAACATCTAAGTCTGTGGGACTCATTGACAACCACCTGAACATGTTCCCACTGAGTTGAAGCTAGGTGCCAGGACTCAAGATTTAAAAAAGCTAGTGTGAACCCTGGAGAGAAATTAGGAAATCCTATCTCATTGACCCAATGATGAAAGCACATCATCTCAAGGTCAAAATCATTATGAAACCACCAGTTTCACAGTAATCCTTTCCATGACTCCCAATAAAAAGGTCCAATAACTTCAATCATATTATTCCCTTGTGAATACCACACAGGAGTCTCTGAGACTGCCTTGACGTTAAGTTGGCTGTTTTATTGTGGCCTTTGTGCTGTTCAGCTCAGCATTGACCTCAAAGTTGCCCATTTCTGGGCATCACCTATATTCAGCGCTTCACAACTTCTTGCAGCATCATTATCAAACTGTCATGTTTAGATCTGCTATTAGTCCTTCCTTTTCTCTGCAAAATAAGATATAAGGCACTCTTGGATCTTTCTGCTATCCTGTGACTTGGGAGGTATAGATGGTGAACAAAACTCCCAACCTTTGCATTGCGATACTGATCAGCAACAGAGAGTTCAGCTCAAGTGGCATGAAACAGATTCTAGTCCCATACAAGGAACATGAATAAATTAAAAAAAATTATGGCAAATTAATATATTTTCAGAGTATCAGGAAGTCTGTCCAGTGGTTGCCATCCTTCCAAGAACAATGTTCACATATGAGTATGGCTCTGTCCACAAGTTGACTGCCTCTATACACTGCTGCAAAAGGATTGGACATCATTGCTGTTAGACTCAGATGTTCCATTGTTTTTATATAAAAAAATACATGTGCTTTGGATGAAATACGGTGGCCATCCTTAGTTTTCAATTCTCCGAGCCTGTTTCCATCATCAATGGAAAATTTGTTGTTATAACATATGCTCATATTTTCAACTAAGCAGGGATCAGATACTGAAAGGGGAAGTGAGAGATTATTCTGTATCAACTCCATATCATGTATTAAACATCAAAATTTCCTTTTTAAACCATTACTGACAACTTTCAAAATAATTTTACCTTCAGTAATACCAGGCTTGCACACTCTATTATATATATCCTTAGGCATCATTCTGTCATGGAAACTAAGTTCAGAATTTTCATTCTCTTTATTTCTCTTTCATGTTAATGTGGCATAATTCCCATACCTTTCTTTCACCTTAGAAAAAAATTAGAGATGCAACGATTTTTTTTATTGGTTATCGGTATCGGCCGATATTGGGGGAATCCAATATATCGGCCCAAAACGATATACGACCTGCCGATAACCAATATTGAAATTACACCTGAAGTATGCCAAACGGTAAGTATTTAAAGCGAATGATGAATATTGTCTCATTTTTCTCATTAGTATTTTTCACTTGAGTTCGACAACATTTCAGTTGACTCAAACACACGTTCATGGAACGTTCCTCATGCATGAATGTCGAAGTCAAGTGAAAAACACTGCAGAAAGTTGAAAATGCCGAAATGACGTTTTCATTATAATAAAAAAAGCAGTATTAGACTGCTGAAAATGTAAACATTTTCCCCCTTTGGATTGAGAGTGGCCGCAAGGCACTGAAGTTTCACCCCTATATGACAGTCAGTGTCTCCCAGTGACAACTTGCGACCTATTGCAAGCACGTGATGTAGGCATAAGCGACTGCGATAGAGGTCTAAAATCATTTCGCGTTTGGTTTAACCGCCTTAATAATCTGGGGATATGCCACCTGGGTTCGACCTTCACTGCCGCGGTTCCTCAACGTCCCAACTTAACTCGGAATATCATAGCCCACTCCGTGTTTTTTGCGATAATAGACATCGCTTGTGTTCGCGCGAAGAACCCAGGCCTACATGGATCCCAAAACTTACGTAGAAAAATCACTAGACAATAGTCTGATTTCAACACTTTCGTGCCCACAGGTTCCATTTGGAACCACAAATTTTCAAGAATTTTATCATCTTTATATTCATGTTAGGGCTGTGCCGATGGCCACATTTGGCCGGTAGACCAATGACGCATTTTGAACTCCTACCCATCGACAGGTATCGGAGCCGGAGCTGATTATGGTCTATACCAGGGGTGGGCAATTATTTTTGCTGGCGGGCCACTTCACGAGTTTTGGTGAGCTTCAAGGGCCGCACTCCAGTATCTCAGAAAATACCTCAATAGCACAATCATTGCTTGTCGATGCTAATCACTCCTTTGCAATAAAAACTGGTAGACAGCTTCTTCTACCGCGTCGCGTTTTTCGATCATCCAGATTCTCACAAAAAAGACTGCCAAGTATAGGGTGGTTAAAAAAAAAAACGCTCTACCGCTTTCTATGGGAGAAACACAATTTCATAAACTCAGCAAAAAAAATTAAATTGAATACGTGATCGATATTTGACAGTTACAAGGTGTTGAAATGCTTGTCAGCTTTTTTTCAGCACCCCTGCCTAAATTGTGTAATGCCCATTTAGAGGTGAATTAAAGGTGCTTGGAGGTGGAGCATTCCACCTCAAGTGAAGTAATGACCTGTGCTCGACCGTCTCAGAGTGCAAGGAACTTTTCAACTTTAATTTTTTTGAAAAGGCAGTTGGATCCAGCTGATATATGACAAAGAGGTTCACGTGTCTTAGAGGTTTTTTTCATTTCCACAAGATGGCGCTGTATCCCGATAGAGGCTGCTGTTGTTGACCGAGTGACCGGGGGTGATTACAAAAAAGCTCTACTGTTTTTGGAGGGGAGAAAGTATGATTTGTGTATTTGAGGAAAATATATACGATTGATAAACTTTTGATACTGGACACATAGGAGGTATTGAGAGGATTGTCTGTGTTTTTCTCAGAACAATTCTTTGAACTGTGCATAGGGCATATGAGCACGAATCATTTGTTCTTCCCTTTGAAGACGGTGGAGCTTTTATGGTTTATTATATTGGTATATTAGCCTCGGTCACCCGGTCAACAACAGCGGCCTCTATCGGGATACAGCGCCATAATGCGGAAGTGAAAAAATCTCAGACACGTGAACCTCTTTGTCATGTATCAGCTAGATCCAACTGTCCCTTAAAAAATTAAAGTTGAAAAGTTCCTTGCACTCTGAGACGGTCGAGCACAGGTCATTACCTCACTTGAGGTGGAATGCTCCACCTCCAAGCACCTTTAATTCACCTCTAAATGGNGCGAATGAGTGACGAAGGAGCACACGAAGGAAAGCACTTATGCCAAACTTGCATCGGAAAGATAAAATTAATGTTGTTTCGTGGATGTATGTGCAAGAAAACCCCATTCAAATGCAAGTACTTCTTAGGACACATTGTAAACGCATCCTAAAAAAAAGTTTTAGACATGTCTTGATGAGCTCAACTCTTGCAAAGCTATTGAATATTCTTTCTTAATAAATAATTATTCATGAAGCGGGTAGTATGCTCGATTGTACTCGTTCTGGAAGGCTTCAAGTAACTCCTCATTATTAGTTCACCACTGCGTTACACCCCTGAGGGGACCTATTTTGTCATTTGAAGCACGTTTGATGTGCATTCAAGCACAGTGAGGGGTATTTGAGAAAAAATTGCCACCTAGAACATTTCCTGTTGCACGGAACACACAATACCTCCTGATTGGCAATATTGCCTGAGTTCTACTATTAAATTTTGGCAAGAAGATTTTGCATTTAAGTAGAGCATTCACATCCATCCACGATTAAACTCAAATTCTCTCTTAATATTTCAAGGGTGGCATTTTACATTTTTGTCCAAAGAACTATACCCGTTTTTCATATTGTGAAGGAAAAACTTCCAAGAATCAACGGGTGATCTCCGAAAATTTGAGCTCTTTTCTTACATTCATTGGTCCGACAGTCAAAAGCTCGTATCTGTATCAAAATAAAAGCCAGCCCTTCGAATTCATAACACACCGGGTAATGAATTTCTGTGCACAGCCAACAAGGGCCGCGTCTTCTGAGGGGGACGCCCCTAATTGCAAGAAGCATTCCTGTTATCCTCAGGCAGCCTCAGATATCCAACGTACGTCCTCCAGATGTGAGAAGATAAGATGGATGTTTGTCGGATGACTACCTGGTTCTATTCAGAATGAATAGAATCAGAAAGAGACCCTTCAACCGTTTTTTTTTTGTAGCCATGTTACGTCACACCAAAAAATCAAGAATACGGATCACGGTTTTTTGCATACATTTCTTGCTTATACATCACAGGAAGAGAAAATGAAGAAATGAAAACGTGTGCCTGCAGCGTGTAACTAAGAGCCTTGGAAATAAAAAAGTTAGCAGAGAGGGGACCTTCTTGATTGCTTTTTGCTGGGTTGAGGTGATCCTTTCTGTCGTAATAAGGTCTCTCTTCGCCAAGTGGTCTGTTTTGTAGTAATAAATTTCTATAAATTTACGAATATTGAATCCTATACAAAAGTTCATAATATTATCAAATTAGCGTGGGTGTGAAGAGAAGTCTATTTTTCATATTTGAATGATATTTAACAAAGAACATTTCTATTCGAGACAAGAGCAGACTTCATATTTTCAAATGAACTTTCAAGACACGTCACATCTGACAGTCACAAAATAGCCTTTGCTTTCTTTCCGGACTTCTGTAATTATGGAATGACACTCTAATTTTAGACTTTCATTCAATCTATAGAATGAACATAGCACTAAATTCATGGCTCATGCTATGTATAAGTTCTTCATACGATAGAAATATGAAATTTCCTACACATATTATTCTAGAAATGATGTCTAGAATATATTTAAATTTGGCGGGTGGCATTCTGGGAGTCTGTGTTTGAGATTGGGTGGGGCATTTCAATATTTTTATGCATATGTATGGCTACCTGAGAGATTCATGAACAATGCTTTTGAAGGGAGTTTTAATAAAATAAAGTAATAAATAATGTAATCTCACTGAATGAGTAGGATTTTGCAAGGTTTGATATGTTGTCTCCTGAATGAATATATCCTAGAAAAGCAGACAAGGACTGTATCTTCTTTCACGAAAATAGATCGTTTACTTGTTCTCCCTTGAAGTTTACTTTCTCATGGTATTTGTTGAATTTTCCAACATTTTCTCAACTCTTCTCAAGTTTTTTTCTCAGTATTTTCCTAATTTTGATATGGCCTCGAACTTAGGCACATTCTTTTTCCACATTAGGGTAAACAGGGGAGTAGTGGACCACCCGATAGTAGTGGACCACTCCTAAGTTTTTCTTCCTATAGGATGCATTAAAAGCTTAATTTGCAATCTTCGCTTATGTTAGCATTAAGAAGTAATGTTTCCCTCAAGGGCTAACAGAAAGCCAGCAACATCTAGGATTCTTTGTGGTTACTATATTGTCTCAAAGTTTTTCTAAGGCAAAACTTGTGCAAAAACCTATAGAAGTTGGATGAGGCCTCAATGATATGCAAGCAGAACACTCGGGCTTGTCTTTCACTCCACTATCAACAGCAAAGCTCTTGTCCATTTTCATTACCTAAGTTATTTTTAATAATTGTTCATAGCCTTGCCTTGGAGCATGAATTTAAAATACATTTGTTATAAACATAGTAAATGTATCCGAAAATGCAGTGAACGTTTTGTGAAAGTAGCTTCTAGTGGAGGCAGAGTTATATTGGATGGAAAGTCATTTGTCTTTTTCTTTCAATATTGTGTATACTTGAAAGCCAGTCATTTCTGAAGATCGTTGAAAGCTGGAGACCTGGAGAGGCATGAGTCACCATGAGTCTAAATAAATTACATGGATGGCAACTTAGTGCTGAGCACCACAAGTAAATGAAAGGTTGCTAGCAAAAACAAAGTCACAAATGGTTTCTGAGTAAATCATGAATTCAGAATCAGACTAATATTCATTTGGACTATAATTATTCTTGCCATAAACACTGGCTCTTTCACCCTGTGTTGAATAGGAGTCTGATTTTTCTTTCTGAAAATGAGTTCCAAAAGCTGCAAGAATGCAATATGTTGGCTACAGCTGCTCCTCAGTTCTATATATTTTTTCTTGTGACTGAATTTTAAGCAATCCATCAAATGCCAATCGAAATATAAATGATCAACCTTGAGTGGGAAGTGGTGGGTCATTTGTTGAAGGATGTTGCTGAATTACATCTGCAGCTTGACTGCATTAAGGGGGATGAGCATAACCCTGAAAACCTTTCTACATGGATGGATGAAGCTGGAGGAGTCTATTCATCAGCATAACTAATTTTAAGCAATTAGGTGTCATTAATTAGGATATATTAAAAAATGAACTGCCCCCTTGCAGACAAAAACTTTTTTTTTCATAACTAAAGAAAATACTTTTTTTTTTAACCCTTCCATTACTGAGGTCATCAGAGATCACTTTTTAATTTTTTAAAGATTGATGTAAAAAAAAATTTTCATGCTGGTAATATCAACTTTGCATATTTCAACACAGATAGAGAAAGTGCAATTAAATGTTTTACAAACTTCATTTCTGAAAAATTTGCGCTCTTACTCATATGTGCAAGGAAGGGCTTGAAACCTCACAAGGGCTTGAAAAGTAAATCCCATTACTTTTTTTCATTAAAAAAAATTTACTGACAGATAATATTTTCAGATCAAAGTATGTGCTGTATCATGCAATCTCATCCCTAACCCTTTCTGCGTCATCCCGAGTACTAACTCAGGACGCGCCTGCGTGCTTTCCTGCGGGATAACAACTCGGGTGGACGCTGAAAGGGTTAAAGAAGAATTACACAAAATCAATTTATCAATTTAGAAAATTGATAATAAAAAATTTTTAGGCAGAAATTTAATACAGTTTGACAAGGGATACTGCTGAGACCCCCTTAGTAATGGAGGGGTTAATAAATGAAGGGCCCACGAGGAGAACAATCCAAGTCAAATTTTTTTAACTTTTGAGATAATGTTGCCATCTGTTTGTTGCACAAGCTTTCATTTCTGATATTCCGAGAATTGCAAAATGATCAATGATACAACAATATACATCATTTTTGAATCTTGAATCAATTAGGAGCCACATGATTTTGAAACTTCATTGTTGTTTTTCTAAAAACAACCTAAAAGTGACTTTGTTCTTCCTGTGGGCTCTTCAAATAAAAAACATTTATGGGTTGTCAAAGAGAATATTTCATTTCCATATAGGAAAAACAAAGGCACGTTCTTTGGAAAGCAGAAAACTTTCTTCAAAACAATGATGTATCAAGCTATTTTATTTTATCACAAAATCTCAATGATGTATCTAGCTATTTTATTTTATCACAAAATCTATCACCATCAGGACCAACAGAACTATCCAAGATATTTTTTCAAGCAAATTGCCTCCTTTTAGCCTATTCCATCCCCAGGAACTACTCCTACCACTGAAAGATAGAGAAAATTTTTTGGTAAACTTATTCAACAGACCTTCCTCTTTGATGCACTTTGGTGGAGAGTCCCAGCAACAGTGTTGCGGTATCCAATCCTATACGAGATGGGATTCCCATCCAACATCAGCATCTCCAGGCAAGAAAGCTTTCTCAAGGGCTCCAATGACTCTGGACTCATCAAAAGGTTATGAGATACATCCAAAGTCTTCATGCACACCAAGGATTCCATTCCTGTAACAAAAGATAAGACTACTTTCATGTCATGGTGTATGTACCACCAGTAAGCAAAGTAAACCAACATGATTGACTGCGCAACACTTCAATATTTGGAGCTACGTTAAGATCAACATTATTACTTCCCAAATTTTCCAATTGAAAACTTGAGGTTTTCTTACAGACTCTCAGCAGCCTACTGATCTATTGGTCTCTAGCAATGGTCAACCAATGGAAACGGAAGGAAGAGTGCTATCAGTGGGGTTCCTGTGAGAAACTGGACCAAAATCAGTGAAAGTATATTTTAAAAAATGACTAAACTACTGGCTTTGCAACAAGTCTTTATTTAAAAAAATTCTTACAATTCTCCCATATCCCGTAATATTTCAAAATTACAGCTTCTGTATAATTTGTAATTAAGCCAATAAAAAAAGTTATTTTGTGCAACAGGGTGTGTGTCCACCATGAAACAAATAAAATACATTCCGTATATTACTCTGTTCACCATGCAGACATTACGAACTAAGAACAAACCATATCGAAATTAGGAGTACCTCTGCTCGAACTTAGGGACACCCCTCTCGAAATTAGGTGCACTACACCTCATTGACAAAATATCGTCTCTATAATACTCCTAAGGTGTGATTACCATAGTTTTGCACCCTGTTCATCTCTCAAGAACCCAAGAAGTTGATGTGAACCAAAAATCAACATGGCATCGCTAATGAGTGCCTGCGATGGATATTCCCATACCCAGAAAAAAAAAGTCTCGAACTTAGGCAAATTACGCTATATCTACATTTATATTCATGCATTCAGGCATTAACCCCTCCACTGTTAAGTTTTATTTGGGACAAAGTCTGATGGGGAAAGTTGAAGGTGCATCAGTGGTGCACCTCATGCTTTCACCTCATTTCTCCAATCGTGAGAATAAATGTTTTGTTCATGCTGAAGCCAGGCTCTTAAATGTGGATTTTAAAATATTACATTGGATTTGCATCAGGCATTTTCTTTACTATGTTCCATCATAGAACTTGCAGAAGGTCGAACAGCAATTACTTTTTTTTATTTTCCTCTTTCCCTTCCTTTCCTCTCCTCAACTCTCCTCAAATAGCCATGTTTCGACTACAGTCTTTTCTAGAATGGCGCTTTCCTGGGATTCAGGTTATTAATTATCAAGATGTCATGCTTCCCAGGATAGCCTGGCCCAACTGTCAAACCTGTCGACTGGGATTTGTGGCTATCTGAGATTGGGAATCTAACTGTTCCGACTGAGTGAGATTTTTTAGAATTCGAGCCATTTTTATGGATTTTGTCACAGACAGTCCTATAGGCTACACCACAGTGCACTTAACACTATCGAAGATGAATGACATGAAATGTTTTGAGAGCGATATATAGGGTGATAAAAAAAAAACGCTCTACCGTTTTCTATGGGAGAAACACGGTTTCATAAACTCAGCAAAAAAAAATTAAATTGGATACATGATCGATATTTGACAGTTACAAGGTGTTGAAATGCTTGTCAGCTCTTTTTTCAGGACCCCTGCCTAAATTGTGTAATGCCCATTTAGAGGTGAATTAAAGGTGCTTGGAGGTGGAGCATTCCACCTCAAGTGAGGTAATGACCTGTGCTCGACCGTCTCAGAGTGCAAGGAACTTTTCAACTTTAATTTTTTAAGGGACAGTTGGATCTAGCTGATACATGACAAAGAGGTTCACGTGTCTGAGATTTTTTCACTTCCGCATTATGGCGCTGTATCCCGATAGAGGCCGCTGTTGTTGACCGGGTGACCGAGGCTAATATACCAATATAATAAACCATAAAAGCTCCACCGTCTTCAAAGGGAAGAACAAATGATTCGTGCTCATATGCCCTATGCACAGTTCAAAGAATTGTTCTGAGAAAAACACAGACAATCCTCTCAATACCTCCTATGTGTCCAGTATCAAAAGTTTATCAATCGTATATATTTTCCTCAAATACACAAATCATACTTTCTCCCCTCCAAAAACAGTAGAGCTTTTTTGTAATCACCCCCGGTCACTCGGTCAACAACAGCAGCCTCTATCGGGATACAGCGCCATCTTGTGGAAATGAAAAAAACCTCTAAGACACGTGAACCTCTTTGTCATATATCAGCTGGATCCAACTGCCTTTTCAAAAAAATTAAAGTTGAAAAGTTCCTTGCACTCTGAGACGGTCGAGCACAGGTCATTACTTCACTTGAGGTGGAATGCTCCACCTCCAAGCACCTTTAATTCAGGAGATTTACCCGTAATGTGTTAAATCCGTCCCCACGACTTTTTTTCGACTGTTCGTAAAGTTGTGGAACATTGACAGTTTATAGCTAGTGCATAAGTTAAATTAAAAAAAACGACTCAAATACTTTCTGTGTTTCTCCCATAGAAAGCAGTAGAGCATTTTTTTATTTAACCACCCTATATATCAACATGTCTATGTTCACACATGGCCAATTGTATGGGGTATCATATATTATCTCTATACAAGGTATATTCAAAACGTTCTGAAAGTTAATTTTATTTCTGGAAAACTAGCAAGGTCACATCATACAATATTAGCTCATATTTAGAAACCATCTCCATGGTTGTTACCATCCATGTATCCACTTTTGGAAAGCAGAAGCCCAAAAAATTTTCCTTTTGAAGGTATGTTCACCATACTGGAAAATTGCAGAACATATAGTAGCCTCACTGAAAAAATATTTGCCCACACAAGTTTCTGAACAGAAAAGAAATATGTCACCAGGCATTGATGATGTATTGACATAATGCTCACAAAAATATACTCCTTCAATGTGAATGGCCAGTTTTTTTCTTCCCCTGTGAAAAAATGAAGAAAATCACAGATCTTTGCTTTTCTTTACCAAACTGAGCCATTTTCACATAATGTCTTAACAAAAAAAGAAATTAGCATTAATTATCTTGTATATAAACAGATTAGCATGATTAATTGAGAGCATGTAGTGAACACTTCAAGTAACAGCATAGTATAAAATATAGTATTCCTCTACAAAGGCAGCCCTATACAAAAGCTAATAATTAAAACTTTCTGAATGCATCTTGTACATCACTTCAAGTATTAAGTTAATTACATCATGTTAAATACTAATTCATGCTAGCAAACAAAGAAACTCACATTATGCAGGCTTTCGATGCTCAATGATGTTAGTAAATCTATTTCTTTATTTGAAGCCTGCATCTTCAGTGCTTGAACTTTCTTATGTGGTAAGACTACACGGATTGGAAGGCCATTTTCCACTTTGCATATCATGTGTCCTTTGCATCAACACAAGTATGCAGGCATGTGCATCTACCCACCTGCCCACCTGTGTTGATGCAAAGGTACATGACACGCAAATTGTGAAACATCCTTTAACTTTCATCATTCAGAGTTTTTAAATACTTCAGTCCCCTCACAGCTAGAAATTAATTCCGTCTTTTTAAACCCCAAGGGTTTGACAGTTATATCATTAGTTTGGGTTCGAAGCCTACCCAAGGACTAAGGCTCATTGATGTAACTTGTGTATGGTGTTAGATATATCTAGCATTTGTCCAATGCAGGCTATTGTAGTGTCAGATATATCTAACATTTGTGTAAGAAAGGTTAAACACCTTTCATCATGATATCATGTTACTTCCAGTTATGTGACGGCACTGCCAACTTAAGATTTGGAACATGAAATAAATATACCTCAAAGATCAAAGATCTTTTGCTGACTTTCAGTGACATTCCCAAAAAAAGAGAGAAAAAGAATGCATATTTTTATTATTTCATTTATGGTGCTATTGTATTACTGCCTCATCTTATAGTTGTGAAATGCCCCCATTTTTAACTTGGGGCTCATAGGAAAAAAAAACTCCAGGAAATGGGTGAACAGTTAATCCAGGAAATAATAAGCTCACCCATTTTCCAGAAGCTGCATACACATCACGGATGGTTACTTCTATGGTGCAAATACAGATTTTCTCAGTCAATTACGAAAATAAGAAAGTCAAAAGCGACAAGGAAATTGAAATCTGTTGATGTGCTTTATGCACCCATCAAAAGCAAAAATGAGGAAAATCAAATGCCTCACCAAGCTGGATGACAGACTTTAAAGAAAAGCATGTTAGATATAAGGAAAGTCAAGTGCAACAGGCATACAAGGACCATTCCTGTGCCTTCTCATTATATTTCCTGAACATGTAGTTCCAGATACATTTGCATCTTGTGCTCCTTTTTGCAATTAATCTTTGGCAAATATCAATACATCAGGGTTAGTACTAGGAATATGCAACCACCAACAATTGAGGGTGTGGCCAGGTTCCAAATGGAAAAGGTGAGTAAGGTTTTGGGGCTCTCATTAAAAAGTAACATATTGGTTTTCCACATAAAATGCAGACATGAGAAAGTCAAGTGCAGGGTGGAAACTCAAGTGCAAAATTAGGACATTAGATTTCTTCAAGAATTCAAGGAAAGAAAGGGTGAAATAACTGCTAGTGGTTAAGAGCACTTGTTCAATCACAAGTGAATGAGTTGGGGACCCATGTGAAAATTTCTTAGATGAGCGTACATGAAATAGCCATATACTTACCAATACATATGGGGGCATATATGAACATATAGGGGGTTTGGCACAAGTCATACACAATCATATAAAAACGAAAATGTATGGTCCCATACATTTTCACATATTGGTTCATACATTCAGTGTACCATGTATTGCATATACAGGGTGTTCATATTTAAACGCAACATAGGGAAGTTTTTTGCCGCCTGTTTGTGGAGTTCAGGGCATGCCTTTTATCTCACCAGGTTGCATATCTGTAAGGCTGAAACCTACCTCCGGTGTGTGGTGTCCTTACAAATATGCAACCCGGTGGGCCTTATAGAGTTCGCCAACCTCCACCTACAGGCAGCAAAATATTCCCTATGTTGCGTTTAAATATGAACACCCTGTATATGCCCTGTCATATTATTTTCATTATGAAGTCATACATTTATTTAGCCACTCCAATATATAGGGTACTCAATAAGTCAGTATACAGTTGCAAGGTATTGTATTCATGTATTTATTGAAAAGTAATTGACAAATACTGATATACATTTTCATATTTTAACTACCATGTCACTAAGCTGATGTGTTGAGCTTTGCTGTGCTTTTGTTGCTGATCAGCCATTTCATATTACAGCAACTGCAAACAGAATATTAGGCAACTGTATACTAACTCATGAGCCACCCATTACATGGGGGCATATATGAACATACATTGACATCCAGATATGAAAAAATATTAAACATATATCAGATTTGAGACAAGTCATACACAATCATATAATAATGAAAATGCATCACCCCATGCACTTTCAAATCTTGCAAATACAATTGCATTATTTGTGCCATATCATACGAGGGTCACTCAATAAGTTATCTACCTGAATAAGAAAGAAACATCAGAGGGGAAAATCAAGGTTCCCTGTTCCGTGGCTAAAATGATGAGAAATTCCTCTGGTTGTTTTTTCTTAATTATTAAAAATATAAGCAAATGCATGTCACGCAGGCCCGGTACGAATTTTTCGGCGGCCATGCATACTTTTCTGTTGAACACATTTCTCGATGTTGATTCAGCAAGTAACCGTGAAAATCTTTATACAAGGCACGTGCTCAAAGGTATACTGCACAAGAAGGATCCCTTCCACAGACTCAATAGCTAAGTTGTTCCTTTCCTCTGTCCACTGGCTTTACATCAGCGAAAAAACTCCACGTTTGCATTGTGAGAAGGACTAGCAAAGGAAAAATCTGCTCTCTTTAACAACTCTTGAGAGAGAGTTGGCATTTCTTGAGGTATTGAAGTACTTCACCCATTTTCGGTGCACTAGCAGAAAGTTTGAGTTTTGGGATGAGAAGTTCATCGCCTGGTGTATCACTCAAACTTAACTGTGGCTGTTCTGCCCGTTTCCCAAAGCATTTGGTGGGATTAAATGAAAATGAGGATGGGGAAACTGCCCATACTGCCCGCGCATTAAAGGAGTTGATTAAAAAAAGGTTGCTTCTTAATCGTCTCAATTCAATATTTGGAGATTTTTATGGCCAGACAGAAGCCCTGACTTTACAACCCACAATTTTTTTTTCAAAGGCGCACTTTAAAGTCATGCATTTACGAACACTGACCAGGGTACCGTAAAGAATTAAGATGAAACATCGAACTTGAAATGGCCAAAATTACCATAGATATGATTCACAAAGCGATGGGGCGATGGGCGACACAGTGACACGTGCNAACAAAAATAACAAAAATAATGAACTGCAAGAAAAAAAAAGTGACTGGCACATGAATGATTATACAGTATTTAATGGATTATGAATCTTAGGATATGAGTATGTTTCAGGTATTCTTGGCATACCTAGACATGTTTGACTTCATATTCAGGTAGATAACTTATTGAGTGGCCCTCGTATCTTGTTCATATATGAAGTCAAACATGTCTAGGTATGCCAAGAATACCTGAAACATACTCATATCCTAAGATTCATAATCCATTAAATACTGTATAATCATTCATGTGCCAGTCACTTTTTTTTTCTTGCAGTTCATTATTTTTGTTATTTTTGTTCATATAATTGTTCATAGAACAAAGCCAATTAGTTCAGAGGAACAGTATGAGTGATGTGATGATGAATTGAACTCCCCCTGCCCATTTCAGCCATTACTTGCAAGATCCCACTTGGGAAATAATTTTTTGAAGTTCCTTCAAATGGGAACATCATTCCAGCTGATTTTCCTCACTGGCTATCCTGTCTGCTACTGAAGCAGTGTTTTCACTTTTAACTAGGGCTGTCACAATAGCAGTTTTCAAAACATCCATGCATCAACCTGAACTATTGATAGTGTATTGATGCATTGGAGGGGGGGGTATGCGCTGAATTATTCAGACTTTTCTTGTCCCGATCGGGTGGAGGATTGTCTTCCACCATTTCTCGCCTCAATCAGAGCACAGACCTCTATCCGCCTTCCATATTCTCCCACTTGTGATCAGTGTGTGCAGGGGAAGGTGTGACCTTTGCAGGGAGTAATTAAACCTACCATGCCTCCAATTACTGAAGATGACATCCATTCATCGATAGATGCATCAGGACAGCTTTAATTTTTCCTTATTACTGTTGAGAATCAGTTGTCAAGCCTGTTCATATAATTTTTTTCTATTTTTCTTCATTCCACATGGTGTTCTTTGGACATCGGCACCGGCAGATAGCAAACCTGACGATGGTGTCATACTGGCGGTTGCCGAAACACCGGTACAGCCCTAGAATAAGCATCGTTCGTGTAAAAAATTCAATCGAGTGGGATATTTCCCCTCAAGTCATTTGCCCACACATCATGATTTTTGAAAAAACATTGATACCGCCAACCACCAATAGTGGTATCGATGCATTGATCTATCATGACAGCCCTAACTTTAACACATCTGCTTACCTAGCTATAGAACCAATGCCCTGACATTGCATGCCCTTGGCTTACTCAATCATCATCTCAACAGTCTTTTGTTGATTTGTCTATGGGTGTAATTTATGTCCAACATGGCTGGACCTGGTTGGCACTTGTGGGTAATTATTAGTTCCCCTGGTCATTGCACCATCACCCCTTTGAAAAAGTCATCAATGGTTCCTGCATGCAATATCATGGATCATCTCTGCATGTCTGGAATAAAGTGACATTAGGATATAAGTGGCTAAGCCATAGCTTTCATATAACATGGGGCTGCCAAATTTGACTTTCAGGCATGCATATCTTGAAAGTCCAGCATCTGAAAGGCTATTCTCAACTGATTTCCCTTATCCCAGTGTTAAAATTTGACTTCTACATCACAAGTGACTCTCATACATCATTTTGCCAGAAAACCGATGCTCATGATTGAAAGTTTTCATTCTTCTTTATCTCATATTCATATGTATACATGTATTTGGATAAATGCATTTGCAAATGGAACTGCATAAAATGAAACTGCAATGAGAGGCCTGTCACCTGGCACAGGCATGATAAAAGGCTGTCTCATTTTACTTTTCCTGCCAAATATCCTTTCTTTAAAGTCCAACATCCACCACAGTGATGAATATGAAATTTCTTTTCATATTATTTGACTTTCTTACTTCCATATTTGACTTGAAAAATCTATCATTTCCTGATGGACTGCCCTCCAATTCTTTACCTTCACTTCCAACAAGCTTATGGCTTATGATTTGAAATTCAATCACCACTGTCCAGTGATACCATTTAAATTCAACATTTTCCAAACTCATTGAACACAACCCCATACTTCTTTTCTCAGCTGTTAATTTAAGTTATTACTTCACAGGACAAGCAAGCTATTTCTTCACCATTAGTAATGTAACTCCTTATCATGATTCTAGACCCAGAGATTTATTCTCCTTCATTCTTTCCTGGTCAGTTTCTTGAGGGGGAAGGCAGACACTCTTAACTGACTGTCTCACCACTTAGTTATACAGGGTGTCCATAGAGTGACTACATATGGGCAACTTCTTTATTATAGACCCTGAAGTAGTCTTTTTTTTTATTTTGTAGACTAACAATGTACCAACTTTGGAATAGTGTCAGATCGTTTCCCCTCCCACATTGGCACAGCCGAGAATTAACTTCCCACATCTGGTGTTTTCTAATTTTTATTCTTTTGAATGGAGAAGAAATTCAGAAAATGATTCAAGGAAAATTTTGCCATTAGACCTTATTGCAACAACTTCTTCAATTTATTGTGGTATTGATTGAATAATAGTATTTTGTAAATTCAAAATCATAAAAATTATGAATTTACTTGACAAATTGGCTCGATGTGTCGACCGCCAATTTCCAGACATTTCTGAGCCCAGCAATTGCATTGTCAGCAAGATCCATGAGAATTCAATCACTTTTCTGGCACATGTCACAAGAGATATTCTCTTGTCCAGGTCTGTGGGTTTGCCCTTATAAACAATGCCCCCAGAGCCCCCAGTAGCCCCAGAGAATTAGAAAATCACAATCGGTCAAAATCCAGAGATCATGGAGGCCATTTGCCCTGGTTGACACTTTGGAATGCTGCACTCCATGTCTGAACTAGTAATTGAAACAAGGGTTGGGTAATAAATTCTCAGTCTCATTAGAATGGAGGAACAAAAGATGTGACATCATTCCGAGGTCTAATGATAAACAGCCAGCAAAAATTTTTAAAAGTTGGTTCCATTTAGTATGAAAAAAGTTGCCCATGGGTAGTCATTTCATGAACACCCTGTATATCAGAAAGATCTAATTTTCTCTTGCTTTTTTTCTGTTTTAGTTTACTGTTCCACTGCTCTTGAAGTAAACCATTCCTTGCTAATGTTATATTGTTACTTATAGATTGGAGAGAGAAAGAATGTTTTCACAAAAAAAGCATTGGTTCAACTCATGGAATCAGGTGTAATATGCCAGCTGCTGCATCTACATTAGCTACATTCCAGTCATTCAGGAGGGAAAATTCAGTCAAGAAAATAGGTCATTTGCTCTCTGGATTTGTAGCATGAGGTCATATATTCCATTTCAATAACTATTCATAGTTCCCTTAATAATTGGGCAATGGACTAAAAGAAGGAATCAGTTTGACCCATACATCAAATCATTCATCAAATGACAGCCTGGCTTGGCTGCAGAGATGCCATTGAAACTCACCGTTCAATGACTCAAGTAGATTGCTTCGCAAAAGAAGAATTTGAAGTCTTGAAGAGGCACCAACAGAAAAAGATGGAAAGAGCATGAGTTTGTTGTAGGAAAGATTGATGGAGGAGGCACTCGGAAGGGATGCATGTTCCAAGCAATTGTGACTGAGATCTAAGCATCTCAGGTTTGGTGTATATTTCCAGCATTCCTCAGTTACAGACACCAATTGGCAGGCAGTGAGTCTGAGTTCCTTGAGTTCTTCCCAGAAGCTTATGAGGCCATCAGCACTACAGACAAGGACATCTGAGGTGGATATTATTGGGGTCAGTGGGCGATGGATGGACAAGAGTTTCAGTTTGTGCCTCACTTCCTTGAGATCTTTCAATTGATTGAAAGGAGTACGACATAGCTCCAGTTTCTCTAGTCCAGGGAAAGGTTTCAAAGTTATTCGAGTCCCACCACACACATGTGATTTCCTTGGGGACTCGACAAGGCGTAAATGTTGCAGGGTGGCAAAGGAACCACGGATGAAGATGACGTGATGTTCCAACACCTCTGGGTCAACATGATGGGAATCAGAAGGCCTGGATTGGCATTCAAAGAGGTCAAGAAGCAGAGAAAGAGTTGTTGGACACAGTGTGAAGATTAAGTGATCTTGCTCACGCAGGACCTTGGCCACATCCAGTAATACCTGGACAGGATCAGGGTCATGATACATCATCCTGAAAGAGATGGAAGGGAGCAAGTAAATGCATAGCTGCTTTAAAATTCAGAGCTTTTTCCTTGCAGTGACAGGTACATCTTTTCAATTTCAATGGTGATCTAATTAGGAGCTTGTTTACAAGTCATATATTGTTTAATCCATTACAACCTTATAAGTGGGAATTTCAAGTGCTTGGTACTATAACTTAGCAAAAGTACATAATTATACTTTTGCAAAATACATAATTTACATCTCAAGCATTCAAAATCCAAAGTAAGGATATGACTACTGAAGTTGACCATTGGGGGAATTGGGATTATCATACATCAATCAATTGTGCTTCAACAGTGCAAATAATGCAATGGGTTTGACCAAAGAGAGTAGTATACTTGGGATGGAATTGTTTATTTCCAGTATGTAGACATAAAAGTGTTGGCGGATTTTAAGTAATGTTGACCTAAATCAAGATTTAAGTAAAATTATTTTTTTAAATTCACGTGACTGAAATCAACTGACCAAAACGTAGGCTCTTGAATACTACTTTTCAAATTATGTTATTTGTGGTGACCTTGAAGCTCCAAATTCCATATTTACACATGTTTAAAGATTCAGATATACTTGAAACAGGAAAATGTAATCTTCCACAATTCTTCCATCAAGCTATGGCATTATGCAACACACACCTAAGGCAAGTCCGGAAGAAATACAGTATTTAAGTCAGATTTTCCTGCCAAAGGGTACCCTTTGGCATGAAATCACCATGCCTGTAATAGCACAATAAGATCCTGTTGACCTGCCACCATCCTGTCAACTGATGTTCCAGACCTTGGTCAGACCTTATATGCTCACTAGTTTGGTTACTAAGGGCTAGAGTGGCATTAAAGCATGTCAATAATCACTTGCAAGAGTAGGTCTTGCCTTTTTAGAAAACTGTATGACACAGTGAAAAGCAGCAGTTAGTAATTTCCCTGGTGCCAAGATGGTATCATGCTAGACCTGATCATTTTCCAGCAGACCAAAGTAAAGGATTTTTTTTTTCCTTGCTCTTAGCTCCTTTGACAACCCACTCATCAATAGGCTCAACAATCCTTTTTGTAGCAAAATATTGAATATAACATCTCTGAAATTTCATTAAAGGGACCCCACCAAGACAGTGTGGGATTTCATGTAGTTCTCGGCCAAGGAAAGGGTTAGAAAGGTTGCAAATATCCTTGTGGATATGCAGTATCAACCAAAAGAAATGTATCAGCAAAAAATTATTTTAAAGAAGCTGATGGCAATGGTAATGCTCTTCATGCAACTTATGAAAAACACTGGGAAATATGTTCCCTATTTTGACTCCAGCATCAGCTAGTAGCAGCCAGCACAGATAAATAAGCAATAACTTATTATAGTCAATCCAACAACAAATTGCATTGTTCACAATACAATTTTCTGGCCAGCTGCCATGGGTAGTCTGCAATCTGACACTGAAGCACAATCATATTGGAGTAAAAAAAAAAAAAAATGAATTGTGCTGAAGTGGACACCGAAGTTGGCATCAATAACCTGATTAATCCAGCCTTGTGTCAAACAATGGCATGCACTCTGCTGATTTGTGAGTGTGGCATGACAGAAATGACTGTTAAACAATAAAGCAGTCAGTCATGACAGTGCATATGTGTGTTGCAATATTTCAGGCATCCAAACAAGCATAATCATTCTGCAACTGTGACTTGTCTGTCTGTGGAAGCATCAATGAATATTTGACATGCAAGCATCCATCATTTGTTGCTCCACTGTGATGACTGCTCTCCAGTCCCTGACTACAGAAGACCAGTGGTAGCCAGCCAGAGATTCCAAATGAAGAAAATATCGATAGTTTCTTCTGTGTAATACTGTGCTGATCAGCACAGTATTTTTCATAAGTCATGTGCAAAGTACTTCAGAACTAAGAATTTCCTTTCAAATGTTACTTCTTAAGTACTGCATTTCTGTTGGTTAATACTTTCCTCTTTTTTACTTTGTTGATTTGTTTGATTTTTGCTGTATTTTGATTTGTTGCTTTTCCCTTCATTTTACTTTTTTTCCCTCTTTTTTTCTTTACTGCATATCCTCCTCCTAACTAATTACTGATCTGTCATTGTCTTGCCCTGTATATCTATAGTACAATAAAAAATAATGAGTAACTGAATGTATAAATTCTCAATATGTACATACATCTCTCACTATCTTAGGGTCACTCATACAAATGCATTAGATGATGACATAGTGGCTGCGCCCCTTCCATGCCTATTTTTAAGAAGAAACTAGGTGCTTTCATGAATAAGCAAGAAGGGGGGCAATGTTGACATAAGAAACTAGGCAGTAAGCAACTAGGATATGCTTAAAAAAAATATTTAGCTTCAAGGAGTAGGCCTACCCTAAAATTAAGGAACACTCAACCTCAACACATGGTATCCACATAGGTGTTCTCACCTCTTGATACCACTAAACCACCTTGAACCTTGAACTCTACCTAAGTGACTTTTTCTTCTCTCTGCTGATCCTTCCAGAAGGCAATGGCTTTGTCAAGATCTTTTTTATATATTTTCCTTGCTTTTTTCACCAGTAGTATCAAAGCATTTCTGCAAAATTATTTGCAGTGATTTTTCCCCAGGCAGAGTTCATAGGCTGTCTCAGGCTAGCCTATGAACTGACTAGGACAGGCATTTTTATTTTGTGCAGGGTACAAAAATGAGAGGGGAATGACATTATTTAGGAATACTTAGTGGAGGTAGATAAGCATACAACCCTTTGGCATGGCAATGGCAACTTCCTTTCTTCTCAGAATGATTAACTCAATCTTACCATATCATAAATTTTGCTGATACTAATGTCTAACTGAATACTCTCTCTCATTCCCTTGAATACACACTCATTGTGATCACGTCATCTGAACTGTACTGTGCAAATAGTTTATAGATATCAAAGGCAAAACCACTTCGTAAGATACATTGGGCTGTTGCCCATTCTGAAGGTGGAATCATTAGTTGATGGTTCCAAAATTCTGGGCATTCATATTGACAGTTCTCTTAAAAGAACATTTGTTCTTTTGTTGCCTCAAAAATTAATGTAGGAATTCATCACTTTTTAGAAACTCAACTCTCTCTTGGCTTGTAATGATATTATATTAGTGTACCACGCCTTTGGATTCCATGAGATTGCTAACAAATGTACTTCTTCATAATTTGGAAGAAAAAGTCTCTGAATTCATGCTACTTACTCTTCCCCAGAATGAGGATTGACAACTTAGGGTTTGTAAGCTTTTACTGTCTCATCTACACTCTGAAGATCAGTCTTTCTTAACCTGACACCAGACCTTATACTTATGGTACAAGATTTTTAAACAAAAATCTTTAAATTCCATTTTGTACATAAGCACTTATCCAATGCAACTTATTCAGCAATGGTTAGCAGATTTTCAAAGACCTCCCTGTTCATATGAGGTGCCTAAACCTAAATTTACTCAAATGTGAAGCTCATCAGTTATCAATTTAAAATGGTCTTTATTCATTGAGGGTAATAGCTTCACTATCTGTGGGGTGACAACTTGTGGCTAGTTATAGTGTTACTTTTCTACCACCTTTCCCAGCAATTGTAATAAAGATATTAGGTGTTGCATTTGACTTTTCTTGTTGCTCACTCAATTGGATCAGCAGATCTGGTTCATGAGCAATTAAAATTTTTTTCCAAAGCAGATCATTTAGCCACTGAAACGAGGGAGGGGATGCTGCTTATTATCATTTTTCCCAGTAGCATGGTATGAAATTTAACCTTACTGTTTAACCTTAACAGTCAAGCACAGATTAAAAAAGCTGCATCAAGCAAAGTTAGTATTGTAGTTCATGCCTGAACTTAACCTTAATACATTATATACTTCTATGATAGGCTAAGGCAATACAGTGCGACCAGTCGAAGTTTAATACAAAGGTTGGTAAAGCCTTCGTGAGGATAGAGAAGGTGGTGTCATCGATGGTTAAGCGTCTCTGGTGACATTTATGCAGAGGCCTTACGGTCTCAAGGTAGCCTATATCGTCCCTGGAGAACTCTTAAAAGGAAGGATGAAACTAAACACAAAAAACATTCCTCCCATCACATGTTCATCACCTACTCCTGTCACGGATGTCACTATATTATATGCATCCAAGATCCAGCTGTCCCTATGCTGCCCTCATGCGATGGTAGCAAGATCCCTTGATGGTGAGCTACAGAGCGAACTGACGATGACGTAACTTTATTCAAGGATCGACGCAACTCCTCCTCTTACCTGCTTCCCCCCAATAACCTTTTTGTCAGCTCTTTAGGCGTCACGTATCATAAACTACTCGATCTTAAAGTGGCCTTTGGCTCCAACACGGAAGCAAATGGCAGAAGAATTGAAAATTCCTGAACTGCATGCCTTTGTCAATGGGCTGCAAGAGGAAGCCCAGCTTTTTTGAAGACCCCAAGGTAGAGTTACCATATTTCGGACAGCTAAAACAAGGACGACTCGCAGTTGGACGAAAATTTGAAAACGAAAAAGGTGGACATGTTCATGAATAATAATAAAAACCAGACGTTTGGTAACCCTACCCCTTGCAGTGGCGTAGCAAGGGGCGGGGAGGGGGGTTATTGTCAAACTCTGGTCAAAATACTGTACAGGTTGTTCCTAAATTATCTTTCCTATTTTGAACGCGAATTTAAAATAATAATAAATAACTAAGAGGCATTTTTTAAAAATGCAGTTTGCACCATCTTGTAGCCTGACTCAAAGAGTTTTTATTGACATGTCAATAGACTTCCAAATCTGCTCCGTTAGTGGCTCTCAGCAAGTCCAACCGATATTTCAATTTCAGTCCACGTTCCCTGCAGTATGTCCAGTCCAGTGGCGGCTCGTGGGTAAAAAAAAAAAGTTGGGTAGGCAGCAGTGGTGGAAAAAAAAAGTGGGAGGGGGGGGTCACCCCCCAATGATTCCTTTGCACCCATATGCAGGGCCGCCCAGAGGGGGGGGGGGAGGGGGCAATCGGGACAATCTGCCCCGGGCCCCACATATCAAGGGGTCCCAACCCACACAGCACAGGTATATCCCAAAGATATCCCAGAGATATCCCCTTGGGACAAGGAAGAAGTCCCAGGTAGTACATGCAGGCGCCTTCCTATCCACAATGGACTCATTTTGTACCGCACAGAAGAGCCCATTACTTTCGAAGATGTCTTTATTTGATCTAGGAATTCCTAATCATAAATTCTTAACCGATTGAAGAGTGACACTTTTGGGGGAAGAAAATCCTGTTCCTAAAGGGAGCCCCATCATTAGGAGACACGTCTATAGGACGAAGTTTAGTATCTTCACGTAAGAGGTCCTGGACGAGATGATTTGGCCTTCCGTCTTTTGAAAAGTATGGACTCAGGCCTCCAACCTAGGGTTACCATGCGTCCGGTTTTTCCCGGACATGTCCTCTTTTTTGGCCTTCACATTTCCGTCCGGGCGGATTTTTCAGAAGTATAGAATTTGTGCGGGATTTATCCTCCGGTCATCAATATTCAGAATTTTTTTCGGCCTGGCAACATCGGTGCGACGTTGGGTGCGATGACACGTCCGTAACGTTTCCTGCTTCCTATTTCCTCCATTTGGAGTCTCGAGGAGAGACTTCATGGTCACATCTCATCTTCGCATTCCGTGGTGAGTCAGCAGGTTTCACGCCTCAAATTTCCACAGCTTCATCGATGTTTTCATCATCCATTTCAAGTTCTTAGTGAACGAAGTCAGATACCTCACATATGATGTTACCCAGAAACTACCCGGTAGAGCGCCACCTTGAGTCGCATGGTTCATGCTATTTTCCATTGCCGAGCCCCTTAAAAAACGGAGGTATGGAAACAGCAAATCGCTGATAACGCTTAGGTACTTGATCGGCACTCCTCATAACGCCCTGACGCGTACGTGCATCATCGGCAGCGAATGTGTTGTTGCACTGCGAAGCTCTGAAAGTTTTTTTTCCTTTTAAATGTATGCACATTGTGGCCAAGAAATACCTGACAAATAAAAGCTCTGCAACTTGCAAACTTTGTAAAAAATAGTAATGAAAATAATTTCTACTTCATAGTATACCATATACTGATGAGTTTTAAGGAGACAATATTCACATCTGGTTAATAAATTGTTTAACCATTAAAAATAATGTTTCGTAATTGTCCGCCTCCTTCTGGTATGCACTGGCACGCACGTGTCACTGTGTCGCCCATCGCCCCATCGCTTTGTGAATCATATCTATGGTAATTTTGGCCATTTCAAGTTCGATGTTTCATCTTAATTCTTTACGGTACCCTGGTCAGTGTTCGTAAATGCATGACTTTAAAGTGCGCCTTTGAAAAAAAAATTGTGGGTTGTAAAGTCAGGGCTTCTGTCTGGCCATAAAAATCTCCAAATATTGAATTGAGACGATTAAGAAGCAACCTTTTTTTAATCAACTCCTTTAATGCGCGGGCAGTATGGGCAGTTTCCCCATCCTCATTTTCATTTAATCCCACCAAATGCTTTGGGAAACGGGCAGAACAGCCACAGTTAAGTTTGAGTGATACACCAGGCGATGAACTTCTCATCCCAAAACTCAAACTTTCTGCTAGTGCACCGAAAATGGGTGAAGTACTTCAATACCTCAAGAAATGCCAACTCTCTCTCAAGAGTTGTTAAAGAGAGCAGATTTTTCCTTTGCTAGTCCTTCTCACAATGCAAACGTGGAGTTTTTTCGCTGATGTAAAGCCAGTGGACAGAGGAAAGGAACAACTTAGCTATTGAGTCTGTGGAAGGGATCCTTCTTGTGCAGTATACCTTTGAGCACGTGCCTTGTATAAAGATTTTCACGGTTACTTGCTGAATCAACATCGAGAAATGTGTTCAACAGAAAAGTATGCATGGCCGCCGAAAAATTCGTACCGGGCCTGCGTGACATGCATTTGCTTATATTTTTAATAATTAAGAAAAAACAACCAGAGGAATTTCTCATCATTTTAGCCACGGAACAGGGAACCTTGATTTTCCAATAAAAATAAATATTCCCTGGATAAATGAAGGTGTCCTCCTTTAGGCTCTCCGAAATATGGTAACCCTACTCCAACCAATACAGTTGTATCCGGACATGCCGATCACTCATCATTAAATAGAATATAACGGAATAAATTTAAATTAAAACTGCAATTTTTTCCTTTTTCCTAGTGGCAGTTTTCCTGATTTACGGTACGATAGTCCTTACTTATCCTCAGGACAAATCAAGTAGATGAATTTGATAGAAAAGATCGGGGGTTGCTGATCAAGGCTCACGGGAGACATCTACCCTCGAAGGTTTGCACCTGACTGAAGGCGACAAAGAGCACTGAAGATGCCTAAAGACATCCCTGAGATGTCCCTAAGACATCCTCCTCAAGATATCGAAAAGCATTAGACTGAAGATGTCTTCAAGATATCCCCCCCCGGATATCTAGAAGCATTCGACATTCGAAGACGATATCCCGAAAGGGATATCTCTAAGATATAGACTGAAGATGTCTAAAAGACGTTTCTTAAATATCCCGAAGGCATCCCTTACGAGATGTCCGAAACCGTCCGAAAGAAGATGTATTCAGGATATCCCATAAATACCAAGGGACAAGTCGTCCAGTTAGGGACATCCCTAGGATATCACTGTGCTGTGTGGGAAGGGGGGGCCTCCAAAGGGCCTCAAGGGGGCCCCCAAGGGGTCTACGGTTTAGTTTTGCCCCAGGCCCCTGGAAACCTCTGGGCGGCCTTGCCCATATGATCCCCATTTCTATCCTTATTGACCAATGGAGCGTCCTCCTATGATAGTAGCAGGCACATTCGCTCCTCTCTCAACCTCGCTCAGCATCCCCTCCCCCACCCACCACTCTCCAGTCTCTTCTGAGGGTCACCCACCCCCACCGCCTCGCTACAGGCTTGACATAAACTTAGGATTTTTGCATTAAAAAACTGTAAATCCAATTCTAACATAATCAGAACTATCCATCAAGGAAATTACTTGCATCTAAAGGGAAAAGTGACGAAGATTTAAACCTTCAATGAATGCAACTACAGGGTGGGCCAAAAAAAACCGCCCCAAATTTGAAGCTTAATAACTTGGACTCCGTTGGGCCAATATAAGTTTTTAAAACAGCAAAATGAAGCTTGTTCAATTTTCTTTCGAATGATATATAATTTTGGGGGGGTTGCTTCAGAGAAATGGCCGTTTTAAGAAAAGTTACGAAAAATTTTACTGAAAACAGCTTTCCTGAGTTCTTTCCAATGCCGCGCTGCTGCTGTCGCCTGTTTCTCCCTCGCGCCCTTGCATGATACGGATTGGTTGATGAGAGATCATGCGATCATGAGGCGAGTAACATGAGGCTGTTGTAGATTGTGGAGGAGGACACATTGAACCATTTT